AGAACTACTGCACTGTTTCTATTAAAACCAAAAAACCCCAGAACCTTGCAAGTTTAATAAAATACTCCCAGAGATGGTTCAAGAGGCATGGCCTCTTGCACGTCCTCTGCCTGGCACACCTGAAGGAGCAGGTCAGACTACATTTCCTCACACATACACCCTCTCACTTCTGGGGCAATCACAAAAGAAACACCTGCACTACAAATGACACAACAGCGACTTAAAAAACCCCACAATTCTTCTGAGGCTTTCTGCTTCATTATTTCCATGAGAACAAGATGTTACTTGTCCAATAGGACAAGGGTGTGAGACCACACAAAAGAAACAACAGTTTCAGTTACACAAAAAAAGAAACAAGAGCAGCATGACATCACAAAGCCCCATCCAATTTTTACGTCTAAGCTGTAAGCTCAAGGTTATGCAAATCTTTCCTTCAGAGAAATTTATCTTTTACAAGAGTTCTGGACATTATTAACTTCCCTACTCCAGAGGCATGCTGCTCAAAGAAACCTATTTTATCAGAACTCAGTAATATCTGGTATGCCTGAAATTAGAAACTATTACAGAAGCAGGAAAAAAAAAAAAGTTACTTTAACAGTCTAAGCATTGCTATTTATATGGCACATATTAGCCATAATGTCACTATTCCCGAACACCGAGCAAAGAATTACAAAACACTTCCGTACAGAAGAATAACCACCCTGCCCCCAACCAGAATTAACATCCTTCCCCATATCTTACTCCACTGAAAAAAAAAAAAACCCACCACCAGAACAGGTCTAAGTGACCTTCAATGCAGTAAGGAACAGAAAATGTACAAAACCAAACAGGTTTTGTACTGAATTGCTAACAAACATACCTGCTTCAGCTTTCACGTAACTGGTTTAGGTGTCTACTGTAACACACACACACAAATACCTACAACCAAAACAACCCTCAATCTCTCTTTCCCACTAAGGTGGCAGTTAGTCATTTCCTATACAGGGAATGTAAATTGCATCAGCCACTAACCTTCTGAGTGGCATCCCAAGAGCTGAGCATTCACAGCAGCTGCTGTGCCAGCACAAACCAGTTAACGGCTAGTACTACAGCAACTCAGAGTACGTTCCTTCGACACAAGTTCTTCTGTTGTGGGCAATACCATCAGCTTTATGAGGCAAAAAAGATGCCTATTTATTTTTAGCAAGACTTCAATACTCCACTTAGATAAGTTTGTATTTTTTCCTTCATCACAACTGCAGAAAAATCTACCGTAAACTGGTACAGATCAAACAAATGATACATAACATCGATTCTGTTTTAAAAGACATTACTTTATTCAACACTATGCACAAAGAGATGAATAAAGCCAAGTAAGACTTCTGCACATTACAAGTCGTAATATAGTAATTTTGATAAACAGCTATTGTCAGTTCTAGGGATTTTCATAGAGTTTCAGTTCTGTCTTAATGTTCCTGTTTGCTAATATCCATCTCAACCTTTCAAATTTTTGGACGGTTCTTCAAAATGACACAAGCATCAACATTTTTTTCCACATTTGTATGTATATCTACATTTGTCCCTTGGCTTATTTTCCAAAGACAGGATTGCAGACTATGTCCAGATATGTCCTACTCTTCATACTTATTTTTTCAGAGAAGGAAAAAGAACCTCAAAAAGGAGCAAAAAGCCCACAAGCATCCAGAGCAGGGAACTTTTATCTGAAGGGGAAAATATTCACCAAAATTCAGTAACATCTAGAAGAAGAATCACAGATCCTAATGGAAAACAAGCCCACACCACAGATCATTCCTCAAGTGGACAAGATTCACAGGATGATGCCAAACCTCAAAACAAATCCTAAAAGAGTATAAGTGTTTGTTTACCATCCTTTATTTGCTTCTGGTTCTGGTAACCCATGTGTCCTACATGAAGTATGAATGGTATCACTTTGCTCAGCACCATCTTTGTATGTTGAGCACTTGCAAGAGCAGGGCTGCTTATTTAAAAGCCAAGTATTAAGGCAAAAAAAAAGTTCTGAGTATTTCAATTTGCAAGCTACTCAAGGCAGAAACGCTTCCTCTACATTGGTACAGTTCTCAACACGGCGAGTCCTAATCCATGCCTGCAAAATAATTTTGTAAATGAATGACTAGCAGTCAGGCAGTTTATAAAGCAGCATGCTTTTTTGTAACTTTGTTAGTTGTAGGTGCAAAGTAGCAGGGAGAACATTTACCATATAACCAGGGGTGTGATCACACCTCAATAAATTCTACCCCATTTTAAAGCATTTGGACTTGAAAGTAAGTCAGTTTCCATCACATTAAAGTTTTGGGGTCTTTTTGAAAAGAAGTCGTCTACAGAGACTATTTCTGCTTTGCAATGGATTCTTCAATAACTATGT